CAGAAGGTCATCTACATACTGGAGAAGTGTTACCTCTGGGTGTTGAGTCCGGAAGGTAGCCAGGTCCCTGTGGAGGGCTTCATCAAAGATGGTGGGGCTATTTTTGAACCCCTGTGGAAGACGAGTCCACGTTAACTGTCCTGTTGTTCCCGTATCTGGGTCCGTCCATTCAAAAGCAAACAGGGGTTGGCTATCTTTGTGTAAAGGCAAACAAAAGAAGGCATCCTTTAAGTCTAACACTGTATACCAAGTCCTTTTAGGGTTCAGGGTGCTGAGTAAATTGTAGGGATTAGGCACCGTGGGGTGTATGTCTTCTACTCTGTTATTTACTTCTCGTAGATCTTGTACTGGTCTATAATCCTCAGTTCCGGGCTTTTTGAACGACAGCAAAGGAGTATTCCAGGCCGACCGGCATGGTATTAATACTCCTAGGGTGAGAAATTTTTGGATGTATCCTTTTATTCCCAGGTGAGCTTCCTTACTTATATGATATTGTTTAATGCGGACTGGGGTAGCCGATGCCTTTAAAATTATGACTATAGGTGGTTGGGAGATAGCAAGTCCTAATCCGGCAGTTTCAGCCCATGAGTCGGGGAATTCTGTTAGCCAATTCTGAGGGATGGATGGGTCTTTAGGTTGCATATAGAGTTGGTATTCATCCTCGGTGGCCATGGTTAGCATAGCTGCCATAGGCCGATGCACCAGCGGGTTAAGGAAGGTTACCTGGGGCCCCTGAGGCTCAAAGGTTATCCTGGCCCTTAATTTGGTTAATAAGTCCCTTCCCATTAAGGGAGCTGGGCATTCAGTTATGACCAGAAAAGAATGTTGTACTTTTCCTCTTCCTAAGTCCATAGTTCTCTTTGTAGTCCAGGCTCGGTATCTGCTGCCATTTGCTCCCTGGACTAAGGTTCTTTGATTGGACAGGGGTCCAAGTGGTTTTTGGAGGGCAGAGAATACCGTGCCCGTGTCTACTTCGAAATCAATTGGAGTCCCCTCCACATCAAAGGTTACCCTGAGCTCAGGGAGGGGAACTGAGCCCCGTCCCCCCTAATCATCATTTTCTTCCAGGGCCAACATTGTTGGTTGGCGCTTTTGAGGTGGTTTGTTTGACCTCTTTGGGCAGTCCTTGGCGAAATGCCCAATTTCCTTACAATAGGCACACTGGTTGGGTTTTAACAAAGGGCGGC